CTGGACGTCAGGAAGCACCTGCATGCACATGCACAACCCCTCACCTCTTCTCCCCCATTGTCGCCCACCTTTCTTCCTCCTGCCTCCCATGTCCCGCCTCCCATTGCTACACCTCGCCCACTGCCCCCACAGGTGGAGCTGGCAGCGCGGGAGTGCATGCACATCTCCACGTCCTTCTTCGTGGAGGAGCTGCGTGCCCGCATGTACACCAAGGTGCGTGCCGGCATGTACACCAAGGTGCGTGCCCGCATGTACACCAAGGTGCGTGCCCGCATGTACACCAAGGTGCGTGCCCGCATGTACACCAAGGTGCGTGCCCGCATGTACACCAAGGTGCGTGCCCGCATGTACACCAAGGTGCGTGCCCGCATGTACACCAAGGTGCGTGCCCGCATGTACACCGAGGTGCATGCCCGCATGTACACCGAGGTGCGTGCCCGCATGTACACCGAGGTGCGTGCCCGCATGTACACCAAGGTGCGTGCCCGCATGTACACCAAGGTGCGTGCCCGCATGTACACCAAGGTGCATGCCCGCATGTACACCAAGGTGCGCACTTACTGTGAGACTCTTGAGATGTGTCCGCATGCACAACAAGGTGCATGCTTGTGCGGCCTGACTGCATGCCTAACAAGGCATGCTTGATGGGCTGCTACTAGTTGCATGTACTAGGGTTACTGTATCACTTCAGAGAGTGCTCTTATGTCCCACTGTGACATGCACGCACAGCATGCTCTTCCATGTTGATATCTGTGACCAATGCATTGAGGACTCCCCACAACTCTCTGCATGCCACCATTTTTTTTATTTTTTATTTTTTATTTTTATTTTTTTTGTTAATGTGGAGCTCTCTGCTCTCCTTCCAGGCAGGCTGCCTGCTTTCTGTCGGAGCCCCCCCTTCTGCACCTCGTGTCTCACGCCCTTCCTGTTATCTTCCACTCTTGTCCCCCTGGCAGGTCATTCTGATGGACCATGTGGATTGGCTGGGGCAGAAGGACATTGACACCCTCTGCCAAGCGCTCAAGGAGCAAGTCAAGGTGGGCTGGAGATGAATGGAGGCATTGTGGCAAGGAGTCTCAGGCAGGGAGTGGGACATTGAGATGGGTGCAGTGCAATGGCATGAGGGTCGAGGTGTGAATATCAAGCGATTTTCTTTTCAGCATTATGCAGCAATTCCGTTGGTGTTGTGCTTACTGAGTCAGAGAGTATTTTGACTCATCTTCTTTTGGCCATGCCCGCCCATACAGCCTGGAGGACGTGTCATCTGGCGAAGTGCATCTCGGGACCCTGGGTATGCCAAGGACATCGAAAAGGCTGGCTTCAAGGGTGAGTAACTGGATCTGACTAGCGATACACTTCTCGCTGTAATTACCCTGTCGAACTAGATGTTGCAGTTCTCCATCTCGCTGTGACCTAAGCGTGTGTGAGTCTTGTTTCTCTTTTCCTGCAGTGGTGCAAGTGCGGTCCATCTCGCAACAACAGTACATGGATCGGGTGAACATGTATGCGAGCTTCTATGTGGCCATCCGTGAAGGCGGACCTGAGCCTGTCAACATCTTCAACAGCCCTCCTGACCCGCTTGCCCCCACCCCTGCTCTAACAAACGGCGAAGCTTAGGCGGGGCCCCCAAAATCCTATCTCTACCATTGATTATGCGTTCATGTGTTGCATATCATCCCATTAAGTATTGACAGGTAGTCATATATGGTAGGCCTTCACCTCATAGGCATGGCGGAACCATATTCTTTGATATCAGATGTATTGTTCAAACTGTTCGTAGCCTGGCACCTAGGAATCAATTATAAAAACGAAGTGTTACTGGAGGATACAATAACAGTAAGTTTTGATTTGTTCAAACTAGTCCCAGAGTCCCTCGTTTATGAGCCCTTCACTGATGCTGCGGATTCGAATCTCTCACGCATCTGGGATCCGACATGCTCCCGACAGCTCGTTGGGTACACGTTTGACTGATGGTACATTTTGATTGGCTCAAACCGGCTTTCGCTTGGTTACGAACAGCACTTCCCTGAACAGCATATCGCGACTCGTTAGGCGGCTCGAATGAGTGAAGTCCAATGTCAATGCATGTCTCGCGCAATCCAGCACAGATGTTCGGCAGGGCACCTTCACGTCAACCGCCGTGCGCCTTAGATCACCAAAAGCCGTACCGCACCACCAACTAGCACGACGACACCAGCACCACCCCAGCAGCACCCGATTACCCTCAGAGCCATCAGCACTCTCTTCAAGCTCATGCGTTCGGGTGTAGGTCCCGTTCGGTTTGTCGTCGTTGTGGCGACAATGACTTCGATACCAGTTCTATGCTTCCACAAACTTTCGACAGCGGTGTCGCGCGGGCTTGGCCCAACTGGTGTCGCTTTTCGGCAGAAGATTTACGAAAAGCGGTGCACTGCCGTTAGCAGTCACTCAACGACCCCACCCACGCAAAGTTGACATTGCACTATGTCCAACAGTTTGTTGGGCGCCTCATAAAAAGCTCTGGAGGGCCACACCGTCGCTAAGTAAAGTGTAAAGGCCTTTTTTCTTCGTCTCGATGAAAGTAGTAAGCGGATCGTGCGTTGTCGGCGGTGACGGCGGTTCTAGCAGCGAAGATAGCAGCAGTGACGCCGAAGGGACAAAACGCGGCTTAGTGATCAAGCGATGCACTGTCGTCACTTGCTACAGCCTGCCGCTGCTCTTAAATCGACGGCTGAGACAGCGAAAGAAGCAGCACCTTAGCATACACACAGATCCTAGTCGTCCGATCAATCGCCGCAGTCTCTATTCGCCGCGGGACAATGCAGTGAAGAGGGGAGTGCGGTTCTACGTTGCGCCCAAGGAGGGGGGGACGGCGGAGGCGGAGCAACACTGGGGCCAACTGGAAGGGCAGAAAAGTCTTGAAAATGGACGTGGCTCTGGAAAGAACGACATCGCAGGTGTGGTTGAAGCGGGCAAGCCTAAGGGAGTTCTGAAGCAAGGAAGCATTGGCACGAAGAATGGCTCTATATCGACTAGAACGCATCCAGTTCCCGACGACGGCCCCAACCACAAACCTTGCGCCAAACCTTCTCCCCGCCTCCCCCCGGCGCCTTCCGCTGCGCTCATTGCCTTCCCTGTCTCCCCGCAATCCGACGCCTCCAGCAGCAGCACATCACCGTCTGATTCAAACTCTTCGCGCCCATCACTGACGTCCATTTTAACACTTTCGCGCCTCCCATCGGACTCTGGCGGCTCGCTGCACGACTCTCGGCGATCGGCATATGAGGCGCTTCCGTCGCCGGGGATTCCGGACGTACAACAGTTAACTACCGCTGGCGTGGTCGTGCCGACTGCAGCATTGACCCCGGCAGCGGCGGCGGCGGCGGCGGCGGTGTCGGCGTGGGCGGCCGAACGAGAGGGGAAATCAGTGGTGGGACAATCAACTGCGAGCTCTACTACCGCCAGTAGCTGCGGGAGCTCCTCGGAATGCGAACCCAGCTGTTCCGAATCGACGGATGCCGGCGTGCCTATAGCGCAGCCATGCACAGCCGCCGACGCGCAGCTGTTTGATTCTTGTTGGACGGATGGCCATTGCGCTACTACAAGGTTGGTAAGCAGAGGGGGGGGCGGCAGTACTACGACCAGCAGTTCGAGCTGTTCTGACAGCGTCCCCATGGCATATCCACTCGTTGGCGGCGACTCGTCGGAAGGAACTTCAACGCCGGATGATTTGCGGTTGATAACTCGAAGTTTCAGCGAGAGATGCGGCGGTAGGAGCGGCGCGAGAAGCAGCAGGTGGCGCGCAGCCGCTCGTCTCAGCGTCGATTTCGGCAGCATTCCGACGCCTTCCGCGCACCTTCCGCGCACAGCGCTTCCCCCGGAGAAACTGGAGGTCGTCCCCCGTGACGGAACCGAACCGAATTCCGCCACTACCACTGGGGGAGTTTTGAGACGCGCGCTCCCTCTTGCACTGGTCTCACCGCGCGAAGGCCTTGGAAACGCCGCGCAAGCGAATCGGCGGATTCAAAGGCGGTTTTCCTCCCCAGAAGCACCGCCGATGGACGGCGATGATCGTTTGTATGTCACCCAGATACTACCCGACCAAAGGTCACCTAATTTTCACGAACGAACGAGAAGTCTTCGGACAGCGAGACAACTCCGCCCCATACGACACGTGTCGTCTTTTCCTGTGCTCCTCGCGCACGGCGGAGGGGAAGCACTTCCTGGTGCGAGGGAGGGCGGAAGGGAGACGCGCATGGGGGACGCGGCGTTGAGCCTTCTGGACGCGGGGGCGGGGTCGAGCGCGGGGATGACGGCTGGCGGAGTCGGCGGGCAGAGGACGGTTCCGTGCACGCCGCGGAGTGCAAAGGTCGTTTTCCCCTTTCGTGAAGGCCAAACGAGGCTTGTCTCGCAGCAAATAAGTTACCATCTAACCTCAACAAACAACCTTCGTAAAACCTCGCGAAACTCTTCTCCGAAATCGCCACTGAGGCGAAGCACGTCGTCGAGCGCTCTGAAAAGCACTTCCTTGAGAACGCCGAGAAGCGCGCTGAGCCGTCACAGGAGAAGCACAAGCGCGGCATTTGGGCAACCCGAGACGCACAGCAGTCGAACGACTAGCAGTGGCGAAGGAGAGTGCAAGGAGAACGTGGATTTTCGTGTTTTGGGTGCTCTGGACTTGGCTGACGCTGACTCCCCTACCACTGGTTGTTCCCCTTCCTCTGCTCAGATTCACTGTGCGGCTTCTAAGCAGCTTGATCCCAGAAACCCATCCAGGCAACTGAAGCATGGCTACGCCGGGGGCCATAAGCTGAGGGTGACGAGGCCAGGCATGCTCTTTGACTGCTTGGACGAGGGGGAGGAAGGAGCGTTGGAAGCAGGGCACATTGGAAACCATGTTACAGGCAATCCAGGGAGTGGAAATCCCTGTTTGCAAGTCTCTTGCAGAACCTCAGCTGCTAAAGTTTCCAAAAGGCAGGAGCAGCAGCTGCTGCCGCTAGAGTGCAAGTCGGTGGAATGGCATGGTGCCCCGCTTATGCTTTCCATGCCTGATTGCTGCACTCAACCTCCCTGGGAAAATAACCCCCTCCCTCAGTCTCCATGGGACAACTGCTCTCCATGGGATAGTGTGCCCACTTCTTGCCCCATGGCAATCCAACACAGTCAGGTCCCAGTTTCATCGATTCCAGAACACGCTGGGAGTGAGTCATGGAGACCACCCATTACAAGCACTGTTGATGACGCTGACAATGCCTCTAACCATTGTGATGGGGCACCGAAGGGTGGTATACAACCACTGGAACAAGCAGAAAGCGAAGGCATAGAGACAGGAGACGTGAAATTGAAGAGCACAAGTGAGAGACGGGTCTCATTCAACAAAGTGGTCAGAGTCAGGAGGATTATAACAGATGGTAAGGGCAATAAAGAGATGTTACTGACATGATGAATTAGGAGAAGCAAACGCGATGTCATCCTATTGAAAATGTGCGACTATTTTTGTCTCGATACCTGCTGCGCAATGGGAGTGCAAGCTTGGTTTTTGGGCTAAGATAAGAGTGTAACCGACAAATTTAGATTCTACAGGTTTTAGGAATGCCAATTCGAGCTTTGTGATTCGTGAATCGACCTGCTTCGCTTTCTTTCTTTCGCTTTCTTCGCTTTCTTTTTTTCTCTTCGCTTTCTTTCTTTTTTTAATGGAGTGTAAGGAGGATGAGTTGTATCTCGAGAGCTGAAGCACGTCCAACAGCTGTGGAGTTGGTGCAATCCGGTGAGAATGGGACACGCCAGCGCGCTTTCCGCACCTCGTTTGCCACGCAGCGACACGTCTCACACGTGCGTAGTGAACCGCAATGTGTTGGCGGCGGGCTTGGTTGTGGAGGTTGGTTGGCCCCAGCCCCAGCATGAACTTTTCGCGCGTATTACGGGTTCAAGGTGGGGAGGTTTCGCGGGCAAGGCTGTTGCTGGCATCGCACGGGATTGACGAACCTCGCTGGCGAGGCTGCTGCCGCTGCAGACACTCCGCGGGTCTGCTGCGTATCAGCGAGAGGTTTTGCACACTTGCTCCCGGGCGGCGCCGAATCGCATGATTTCCATATGAAAAATTATCGCGAACGGGTCGAATGGCTGAGCGAAATCGAGCACCATCCCTGGTGGCGTTTTCGTCAAGTAACCCGATGCTTTGGTAGCTGTGCAGAGGGGAACGAACAAGGATGCTGCTGCGATGTGCCTTGTGCCTCACGAATCACACCAACAGTTGGTGTCAATGAGGCTCAATGAGGTGCTTTGCCTTATCGTCATATTTGTAGACGGTTGGGTATGGTATTGACCTAAAACAGTAGTCTGCAATTTTTCGCAACGCCTACGCCAACCCACCAGCCTCGCCTCGCCATCGCACCAAATTAGCAGCGTTGTGGTTGGGCCATGACCGTTTTGCTCCAGCCAGCTGTCCCCCTACTGCTCACCCACACACACCCCTCGTTCTACCGCGCCCCCAAAAACGTCCTCGACCAACACTGACCAGGACACAGACCATGGAGGGAGCGGCAGGGCAAAACTGTGCTGCCAACCTTTCTGGCCCAAGATGCGATGCTCCTTGTTGATTGATGCATTCAATTCAGTAGCGGGAGGTAAAATAGAAGATGAGAAAGGCTACCAACGGGAGCAGCATGGCAATTCGCGACTGTAGGTACTAAAATCCACCTGGCAGTACGGTTAGTGCGTCACGAAGTCCACCTATCACTGCTTACCTGTCACCTAATTTCACTCGGGGAGGAAAAAACGCGGCGTCTTTTTTCACTCTCCCAAACCAGGTCCATAAAAGCAAGAACCCTTCCTAATTAGCACCAATCTAGGCGGCTGACCTGTCGTGCTGGATGGGGGTCATGGCAGGTCCAAGGATTCACATCCACGTGTCGCCACCTGATTCGCCGCTCGACCTCTCAAGCCTCTCTTTCGCACTATCCAGCCCAAAATCCAAGACACCAGAGCCACAATCACTACCACTCTCAGCCGCTCCGCCCTCTCCGCTAGCGGCGCCGCCTGCAGCGGCGGCGGGCGCGGTGCCTCCGGGCGCCGTAGCTCTGACCGGCGGTTGCGGGCAGAAGTCTTTAAAGCAGTCGCTATGCGCCGCGGTGCTGCGGCTCGTGCAGGAGGGCGTGGAGAGGGACGGGTACGGCAAGCAAGCCGTCGAGGCGCTGGGAAGACACTTCGCGTCGCTCCCTTCGCGGTACGCGCGCTTCGTCTTCCAGTTTTAACGGCACGCGCGCTCGCGTCGGTTTATTCTTCATCTTTTTGTCCCACTCTTGCCTATTATTGATTTGAATTTCGTTCGCCGCCTCACCGCGCCCCCTCCCGACTCCCCTTTGCGTCACCCTCTCCGCTCCCCATTCCGCCCCTCTTCCTGCTCCCATCCCCTACTTCCCCACCTCCTCTTCCCCACTTTCTGCTCCCCACTCCGGCCCTCGATTGCCGTCCCCACCTACGCGCACACACGCCCGCCAGGTACGCTCTAAGCGTCGATCCGCACCGCCATGATGACGTCATGCTGCACATGCGGTTGATCAACGAGGTGCGCGACGCGAACCAGTCGAACCGCGACCACGGGCCAATGGCGTGCGTGCGACGCGTGTGGCTGGGAGCCGCAAACCTGCCGTCCAATCCCAGCACACCAAAACCACGCGCCGCCGCGCCCGCCGCCGCCGCTGCTGCTGACAGAGACAGTGCCGGGCAGTCGGAACAAACGAAGCAGCAACGACGGAGGGATGCTTATAAGACGAGTAGTCAGCCGCGTCGCATTCCGAAGCCAATCTTCGGTTCCTCCGCGGCCCTCTCGTTACTCTACGTTTGCAGTCCCACAGGGGCCGCAATGAACGCCGCAACTAACGCCGCCACATCCGCTGGCGGAACTCCGGGGTCCAACGGTGGCCCTGGTAACCAGGTTACGAGGCAGCTGTCAGGAAACGGACGGACAGGTGGCCAATTCTCATTGGCTGCGTGCGTCAACGCGAGCAGCGGATGCGGGATGCGCGGAGAACGCGGCGTGCCCGCGCCCGTGCCAATTCCCAGACGTAAATCGGGTGGTCAGCTTATAACGGGTACAAGGGGTTCCACCTCCAGCCTTGAGGGGAGGAGCGCGGAGCGGGGCTCAGGATGCGCGCTTGGGGAGGCGGAGGGCGACGGCGCGCGGGGGAACGATCAGCGGGGACTGTACGGGCGGAATGGGGGGGCGGCATTTGATGATTTTGCAGGGAAAAGCGCAGAGTCGGGGAGTCTGGGCGGAGGCATAGGGTCGTTTGGGTCCTACGATCAAACGAAAAGCGCGGGTTCGAGTCTCCACGGCGACACTTTGGATGAAAACGAGGAAGGCGCGGGGGGAGGAGGGTCGGGGAGAGGGTACGGGTGGGAGGTGACGGTGGCGGCTCCTGATAGGCAAGGGCTGCTGACGTGTTTCACGAGCGCGTTGGGGAATGCTGGCCTGGAGTGGAACATCAGAGAGGCTCATGTGTTCAGCAGCAGTGATGGCATGGCGCTGCAGGTGTTTGTGGTGGCGCCCGATGGCGACCACCCCTTGCATGATGATGTGAGTCGCACTGCATGGGGATGCATGTGGGATGCATGTCTGGTGGAGCACTGCGACTCCAGGCAAAAATCATATTTTCCGTTTCCTCTTCTCTGCCTCCCTCATAAAGTCTTCCTCCTTCCCCCCTCCGTCGTGACCCCCCGCCATTCCACCCTGTCTTCTGCTCCCTCTCGGGCCACTCATTTCCCCGACCTCTCCTCCTCACTCCATTCCAGACGGTGGAGCTACAGGAGGCGGTGCAGGAGCTGCTGCGCGCCAAGTGGAAGGACCACGTGGCAGTGGCAGCGCGCACAGCAGAGCAGGTGCAGCTCAGCAACCTGCGCGCCGTGGTGGACGCTCTCGCATACGAGGACTGGGCCGTGGATTACAGTGATGTGAGTGTGAAGTGTGTGACTATGTGGCGTGTGATTGTAATGAGGGTCAGAGGCGCAGAAGCGGAGAGCAGGAGGTGCAGCTCAGCAACCTAAAGTCCGTGGTTGGACGCCCTGGCATACGAGGACTGGGCCGTGGACTAGAGCGATGTGAGTGTGATGTGTGTGACAATAGCGAAGGGGGTGTGGCGTGTGACTGTAGCGAGGTGCTGCTGTGATGTTGACTGGCGTGTGATTCTTACGAGTTGAGACTAGAGGCGCACACAAAAGAGCAGGTGCAACTGAGCGACCTGAGGGCCGTGGCGTAAATGTCCCTCCCTCTCCCCACCCCCACCCCTCCCCTCCCTCACCTCAGCTGGCTCTGGGCGAGAAGCTAGGCGGGGGCGCGTCAGGGCGGCTGCACCGGGGGACGTACCGCGGGCAGGAGGTGGCCGTCAAGGTGCTGCAGCTCGCACCCCATGGGGGGGGCGCGCAGGGGGAGGGCGCGGCTGGGGGCGGTGCTGCTGGAGAGGGGGGGGAGGGAATGGGGGGCTCGGTGTGCGGGACTCTGCGGAGTGCGACGGCGATGGAGCTGCTGCAGTGCTTCAAGCAGGAGGTCGCTATAATGAGGTGTGTTCTTACTCTCTCGCTCACATTCCCACTTGCTCTTGGGTCTTTCAATCTTACCGCCCTTTCCTCCATTCCAAGTCCTGCTGTATTGGAGTTGCTATGGATGATTCTCAAAGCCCTCTTTGTTTCCTCAGAATCTTGATTCTCTACGTGAATGCCACGTCCTTACCATAACATGCCACTACGCACACTTATAGCTCGTCCTTATGCCATCCCATCTCTCTGCCGTCCTCATCCCTCTGTCATCCACATCCCCCACAACTACCGTCCTCCAGCTGTTGCTCTCTCCTGTCTCCCTCCGTTGGTATCCCCCTTACAGGATGGTTCGCCATAAGAATCTCGTGCAGTTTATCGGAGCCTGCTCCCACTGGCCGCGTCTCTTCATTGTCACAGAGCTCATGGCTAAAGGAAGGTAAGCTGATGCCCAAAGGAAGGTGAGAAGCAGCCACTTTGCCACACCTGCGGGCTGACTCATCCATCCGAAAGTCACCCCCATTAGTCTGCTGCAGATTAGTCACCAAAATACCATATCTTACTCGCCCATTCAGCCACTCTCTCACCTTCTCTCCTCCTCCCACCTCCCCCCTGTCCCACCCTTCCTCGCCCATCATTCCCCGCACCCCACACCAGTGTGAGGAACGTCCTGGATTGCTGCAGCACCGCCCTCTCCTCTCCCTGCTGGGGCGCCTCAAAATCCTCCAAGACGCGGCCCAGTCAACCACCCTCACATTCACTCCTCATACCACCTCTCCTCTCCCTCCATCTTCTTTCTCCTCTACCAGTGTGCGGGACGTCCTAGACAGGCGCAGCATCGCTCTCTCCCTGCCGGCGCGCCTCAAGATCCTCCGCGACGCAGCCCGTGGGCTGGACTTTCTCCACCGCCGAGGCATTGTGCACCGCGACTTGAAAGCAGCTAACCTGCTCATTGATGAGAACGACGTGAGCCCCCTGCCCTTGTTGCAAGGCCACTTGCACCACTCTATGCTGGGGAGAGCATTTGTGTGTGGCTTCTTCTTGCTAGCCCTTCTTCTTGCTAGCCCTCCTTGCTAGCCCTTCTTCTTGCTAGCCCTCCTTGCTAGCCCTCCTTCTTGCTAGCCCTCCTTCTTGCTAGCCCTCCTTCTTGCTAGCCCTCCTTCTTGCTAGCCCTCCTTCTTGCTAGCCCTTCTTCTTGCTAGCCCTCCTTCTTGCTAGCCCTCCTTCTTGCTAGCCCTCCTTCTTGCTAGCCCTCCTTCTTGCTAGCCCTCCTTCTTGCTAGCCCTCCTTCTTGCTAGCCCTCCTTCTTGCTAGCCCTCCTTCTTGCTAGCCCTCCTTCTTGCTAGCCCTCCTTCTTGCTAGCCCTCCTTCTTGCTAGCCCTCCTTCTTGCTAGCCCTCCTTCTTGCTAGCCTTTCTTGATCACCCTCTCGTTGACAGCAACGATGTGGGCCTGCCTGCTTCCACACGTGGCCGGCCTGAAAGAAAATGACATGCGCCGTGACCTCAAGGCCGCTCGCCATAAATTACCTGAATGATGCATGCAGCCTTGTTGTGACCCCGCATCAGTCTGCGAGCTGCCAGATTAGCAGCACAAGCTTAAAGCCATCTCTCTCCTCTAACTCTTGTGTCGTCCCCTTTACCAACGCCCCTCAGGTGGTGAAGCTGTGTGACTTTGGTGTGGCGCGCATGCTCCCATCCCGGCAGCAGGGTGGGCAGCTGAGGGGCGGACCGGAGGGGGTAGGGGGAGCAGACATGACAGCAGAGACGGGGACGTACCGGTGGATGGCGCCTGAGGTGATGGAGCACAGGGGGTATGACCAGCGCGCCGATGTCTTTTCGTTCGCCATCACCATGTGGTGAGCTCTTGTTGTGCGGCAGCAGGGCATAGGGCATAAGGGCACAGGGCACGAGGCACAGGGGTCAGGGCACAGAAGCATGGGACACAGGCGGGCAGACATCACAGCAGAGACGGGGACGTACCGGTGGATGGCGCCTGAGGTGATGGAGCACAGGGGGTACGACCAGCAGGCCGACGTGTTCTCCGCCATCACCATGTGGTGAGCTCCTGGGATGGGGGCAACATGATACAGGGCAGAGGTCACAGGGAAGAGGGCACAGGACATGGGATATAGAGCAGAGGGCACAGTAGCAGGGCTGATGGACGCAGCAGTGCATTGACTGCTTCACAGCCCTCGTCTTGCCTCTTCCCCTGCCGTCCCCCCCATGTCATGATGACAGGGAGGTGTTGACAGGCGACCTGCCTTACTCGGGCCTCACACCACTGCAGGCTGCCATCGGCGTGCTTCAGAGGTGAGCCCGCCTTCCCATCCCTCTGCTGCTGCTATTCTGGCAACCCACAGGCACAAATTGCAGCATCACTTACCTTCTTACTACCACATCACCACCTTCCTTCCCTCCGCCAATCTTCACCACAGTCACCATTCCTTACATTCTTGCTTCCATTCCGTTTGCCCGTCACACCCACACGTGTCACCCACCGCCCTGCCACCATTCGCCCTGCCATCCCAGGAACCTCCGGCCGCCCATTCCGCCCACGCTCCCTCCGCCCATCGCCACTCTCATGGCGCGCTGCTGGGCGTCTGACCCCGCTGATAGAGCCGACTTCTCCGAGGTGAGGGGCTTTGGCTGATTTTGTCAGGTGGGTGGGCTGATTTTGTCAGGTGGGTGGGCTGATTTTGTCAGGTAGTTGGGCTGATTATGTCAGGGGGTTAAGCTGACGCTTTGTATTTAAATCTTAGATGTTACGAGGGTTGGGGATGATAACAGGTCACCTTTAGGGGGTTTCTGCACCTGTCCACCTGCATCCACCCCTCTGCACGTGTCTTTCATCCATCCCTGCATGTCAACTTTTTTCCACTCCTTCATACCCACCTGTACCCATCCATACTCACGCACACCCACCAGGTGCTGACAGTGCTGGAAGCGTCCATCAAGGGGGTGTCTCCTGCCGCCCTCTGCTTGGGCCCTGATGCCGCCTCCGCTGCTGCTGCTGGAGGGGGAATCACAGGGGCAGGGGCAGGGGCAGGGGCAGGGGCAGGGGGAGTGGCAAGGGCGCGGGATTTGACAAGGGGAGGAGGGAGCTCTGCCTCTCTGGGCAGCTTGTTTCGGCGGTCCATCTTTGGAGCTGTCAAGAAACACTGAGGGGAGAGGGAGACGGAGTGAGGTGTGGAGGGGAACAAGACCACATGCATCTGTTTGTATTAGGTCTATTATTTGAATGGGTGCGCAGAGGCATTCACTCACGTGCATGCAATGCAAGGTATTGCAGAGTCGAAGCCGCACAGCACGTGAGCAGAAGCAGGAGCAGCAACAGCAGAATCCTGAAGTTACATCTCTAACCTTTGGCAAACCTTCTGTAGCCACCTTCACACTTTCCTGGTGTAAAGCTAACATCCTTTTAGCACAGTGATAGATTGACTTGATTCAAGGCAAGCTATCTCAAGGCTGACTTGGCTTCATTCGTACCAGTCCAATTGTGATGTGTCACACCAGCTCCACCACACCCGTTTGTACGGTACCCTAAATGGGAGTTGCAGATAACATGTGGATTCAACAAGGCTGTCACAAAAGCTAGAAGAGCGCAGAAACAGGCGTAAATCCTGATTCCTGCACAGAACGTCATTCCAGGAGTTCCTAAAATCCTGAGCATGGGATACAAGCGCTACCAATATCCCATCTTCATGTGCATCTGGAAGTTCAGTGTACCAAACCCATGCACAGGTCCCTAGTATGCAGGGCTATAAAACGATGGAGATAGCCCTGCAAGAGAAAGCTGAGTGTCAGCGACAAGTCGCATGGCACCAGAACTACAAGCAGCCGCAACAGCTGTTGTGGCACAGCAAACCGCGCTTATAGAGCAACCCTGAGGCACTGATGAAGGAAGAGGCAGCATCAGTATGAGCATGAGCTTGACAGTCAGGAGAAGGGCGCTCAGCAGAAGGGCGCTCAGCAGAAGGGCGCTCAGCAACAGTAGTTGGCAAGAACGCGGTAATAGACGCGCTCGTCCCTGTGCTTGCCACTCTCCGCCGCTCCCACCAGCGCAAGCTCCTGACGAGGGGCGATTACACATGAGCACAGTGACGCATTGAGACACACATCAAGAAATGCATTCAGGCAGCCACTGGGACGAGCATTGACGCAACAACACAATGGAGAGGCTGGGTTTAGACAATGAGGCAGACATGAAAAGGAATAAAGAGGAATAGTAGACGGAACACAAGGGGGAGTGGGAGGACACGACAGGTTCGTCCTTCATCCTATGCCTCCTGTACCTTGACCATCTTGTGGCTGAGATTGATCCCCAGGCAGTGCAGCAGACGGCGCAGATCCTCCGACTGAGAGCGAAGCGCAATGAGCACCAGGGACAAGCGAATGAATCGAAGACAGGAAGATCAGCAAACCACAGGGAACAAGGTGAACAGAAAATTGATTGAAAGGCGAAGAAAGAGGAGAAGCAGAAAAACCCAAAGGTTGATTCGCCCTGACATAACCATCCACCCAATATCCAACCCATTTCCCATCTCTTCCTTCCCAACATCTCACTCCACCTTTCCCCGCAAGCACCCCCTCCCACATCTGTCCCTCATGGGGCACATACCTTGAGGTAGTCGGTGTGGTTGCGGTCAAACTGACGGAAGGCCTGCAGGCACAGTGCAGGCGAGGGGGAGAGAGTGCAGGCGAAGGGGAGAGAGTGCAGGCGAGGGGGAGAGAGTGCAGGCGAGGGGGAGAGAGTGCAGGCGAGGGGGAGAGAGTGCAGGCGAGCCATGTTTACCACACACACGACATCACTCAACTCAACACGAGACATTTCGCAAAGTGGCAGTACAAATAGAGGGATGGAAGTGACGGAGCTATAACAAAGGTGTGAGGATGCAGGAGAAGCATAGAGGGGAAACGGGGACGACCAAGAATCAGCAAGAAGCGTTAGAGCAAGGAGCAAGGAGAAAGGCTTACAAGGACGAGATCAGAGCAAGTCACTGAAGACTTGGGCCATGAGTCCTCCTCCTTCACCTCCTTCACCTCCTTTGTCTCCTTCGCCTCTTCCTTTGCCTCTTCCTTTGCCTTCTTCTCACCCTTCCCTTCCCCCTCCTCGCCTTCCTTCTCCTTCTTCTCCCCCTCTGTAGCGCCTGCCCCCTTCTCTGCTGGCCCGATCAATACCGCTCCATCGCTCGCCTTCTTCCCCTCTTCCACCTCCGCACCACCCTCCTCCATCGCCTTATCCTTCCCTTCCTTCTCTTCCTCCCCTTCCACCTGCTCCTCTTTCTTCACTACCTCCTCTGCACTGGCTTTCTTATTCTTCCCCTCATCCCCCTTCTTCTCCTCATCCTCCTCCATCTTCTCTTCCTTCTTCACCGCACCACCTTCCTCTCCCTCTTTCTTCTCCTCCTCAACCTCCATCTCAACATCCCCCTCCCCGCCTTCCACCTTCACCCGCTTTGCCACCCCCTCATCTCCACCTCCTTCACGTGCCTTCTCCCCCTTGCCGTCTCCCTCGCCGCTCTCCTTTGCCTTCTCCTTGGCTGCTTCAGCCTCCAGCCTGCGCTTGCGACTCTCCCTCTCCCTCTCCCGCTCCTTCTCCCTCTCCTTCTCCCGCTCCCTCTCCCGCTCCTTCTCTTTGGCCCGTTTAGCAAGGGACAAGGGATACAAGAACTGGGGCAGGGAAACAGACAAGCACAAGCAAACGCGCAAGCACATCATAAGAAAACCGAGTATGAGTTCAAAACACTGAGCCAAAAAAGCACCAAAAGTCAGACCCAAAAAACAATGAAAAGGAACGGAATAACCAGGCCATTGCTATTGGGCAGCCCCCCAACAAAACGTGCCCTAAAGCCGGCACAATGCACTTTCCACAAACTCATACTTCAGATCCGTACTTCAAACCATCTGAAAGACACCCATTCATAATTTTCCATGCAGCTGACCTGCAGGTGCGTGAAGATGGTTCGGCCTGCTCGCTCCTGGATATACTCGCTGATGCTCTCCGCCACCACCCCCAGCTGCAGTGCCGAGAGAAAGGGCGGAATTGGGAACAGAGGCGACGGGAGAGAGACGGAGGGAGAGACGGAGGGACGGGAGAGGAAGGAGGGGATGGGAGGAAATAGTAGAGCTGCCAAACTGTCAGATACTTGCAGGTACTGTTGGGTCTACTCACATATGGCTTAACAACCACCGAAAAAAATACAAATATTCACTCACTGCCTCAACAACTACCGTGGCGAACCAAACTGGCAAAACACTGTACCGCACTGCACTGTAATGCACCGCACAGCAAACAGGCACACACCTCGAAGGAGGACTCATCCCTGTCCTCCTCATCATAGTCCAGCAATCCATCCAAAGAGATGGTGAGTGTCTTCACCTGCAGGCACGCAGAGGGGGGTGTGGGATGGATGGGTTTGAGGTTGTAAGTCCCGTTATGGTCAGCATAGGAAGCTAGAGCAACAACAATTGCCGGAAAAAAACGCACACACACTGAAGAACTGGACAAGGAGGGGTAGGGATGGGTGATGACGTTATTAGGTTGACCAAAGAGGATTCAAAATGAGGAAGGAGAGGAAGTATGGGGCTGATGAGAGGCCTTACAAGGATTGGAAACACACCTTGACAGACTTAGAACGTGAAGAAACCAGGACAAAACCAGGATTGGTGATCTCCTTCGCCTTTGCCTTCTCCTTCTCTTCCTTCTCTTTCTTCTCCTTCTCCTCCTCCTTCTTTTCCTTCTCCTCTTTCTCTTTCTTCTCCTCCTCTTTTTCCTTGTCCTCCTCCCCTTCCTTCCCCGCTCCCTCCTTCGCCTCACCACCCTCTGTCTTCTCTCCATCACCTGAGCCATCTGCTCCATCCTTGCCATCCTTCGCCGCATCCGTTGCTGCTCCCTTGTCTGCCCCTGCAGAATCTCCTTCCTTAGCCTTCTCCTCCTCCTTCTCCTTCTCTTCTACCTTCTCATCCTTCTCCTTCTCCTTCTCCTTCTTGTCCTTGTCACTTTTTTCCTTCTCCTCCTTCCCGGTTTCCTCCTTTTCTTTCTCCTTCTCCTTCTCTTTCTCTTTCTCCTTTTCCTTCTCCTTCTCACGCTCCTTCCGTTCCTTGTCCCTCCTCTCCTTCTCCTTCCGCTCCTTCTCCTCAATCGCCTTCCTCTTCGCCTCCAGCTCTTTCACAGCCTCCTTCCAATCCTCTAGGCTCGGAAGGCACTCCGACAGGTTCGGCAAGAAATAGACCACAGTCTCGAGGTGGGTCGGCTTGCCGCGGCTATCAGCTCTCATGTAAACGACCTGGTAGGATGAATAAAAGAAGAATGATTATATATATATTAAGAAAAAACGGACAGAGAGGAATAATCATGGGAGTGAGAGGGGAATGCAATGGAGGATATGCAACGAGCAAAGAGGAGGGAGGAAATTACCGCGAGAACCCCAAATGAATAAAGGCAACTCGTTACAAAACCACACTTAACAGCGGAGACCCACATGCAGGACTTGGCACGAGCATGAGAGAACAAGCAAGAGCAAGCTAGAGCAATCTACTCACGTCGATAAGCCGCACCCAGTCCTTGCACGCGCTCAGATCCACACGCACAGTTGCCTTCACAAACCTGCCACAAGAACAATGTTTCTAAGGATTAAGTGTGCAACGAGAAAGGCATGCTGTGTGGGTCAGCAAGGGGGAGCTGAGGCAACTCGCACGAGTTTGGATCACCATGACATGGCATGGGATATCCGTGGCAGGACTAGCATGCTCACATGCAATCCCATGCTGCTGCATCAGACAACCCCTCCCCCCACCCAAAGACAAGTCACTGATTTCCCCTCACACCTGATCGCAGCACGCACGAGCCCAGAGTCCTCCTTGCTCGGATCCCCACCGTCCGTTTCCGCCTCCCAGCGCCCGCCAATGGCTGAGATGGGATCGCGGTCGCGGCGCATGCAGACGAATCGCAGCGCGTGGTTGGTGTGCGGGGGGCGCTCGTGCGGCGACGGGGGCTTGTCTGACGTGATCTGAGCAAGGGCTGGCGCGTCCAGGCCACTCATCAGCAGCACCTGACGGGACGACCGGGAAGGGGGCATGACTTAGAGCAAAGCAGTGCGCACAAGATGAGGGGGTGATGGAGAGCAGAGGACCAGAGAGAGGGGGATTGGGGGAAAGGGGGGGCAGAGAGGGGCTTAGGGGGGGTGTGGCGTTGGAGAATCTGGGCACTCCTCTTGCTGATCGCGCATGCGGATGTTGCAGTGCAGAACCAGACACCCATTCATACACACAGCGCGCACACACACACAGTGGGAACGCAGAGCATCAAGTGAAGGGGCGCTCTCACCTTGACAGTCCAGAGCATGGGCAGATCAAGCCCAAATGGCGCAGAGGCAGAGTGGGCAGGCGACGTGGCAAAGCCACAGCTCTCATTCGCCGTTGCCATAGACGTGTCATGTGGAGGCGACTCCCCAGCAGTCGCTGTTGCAGCACCAGCCGACTGCCCTGCAGGAGTGCCGTCCTCTGCCATGCCCTGAACCTCACCCTTCACTTCTGTGACCTGTGCTCCCTCGTCTGGCTCGGTCTTCACTGCTGGGTCTCCCTTGCTTGGAGTGCTGGCGGTGCCGACGGTTGCCGCAGCAGCAGGAGACGTTGATGCCGCAGCAGCGGTTGCCGAGTCGTCAGATTCTACCTCTACTGAGTCATGCTCGAAGCTGATCCAGCCGTCCATCCATCCACAAATGGTCCATCCATCATGGCAAGTGGGCAGTGGGCAGCGCACACACGCCACCACGGATACGCACAGAATGCCATCGCAACAACAAGTCCAGATTAGAAAGGAGAGCTGGCAGCTGAGCTGTGGTCATGTGATTACAGGAGCGGCGGATGGACGATGAGGACGAGGACGTGCAAAGGCCACATGGAGCTCTCCAAATCACAGCAGCAGCAAGCGGAGCCAGGAGCTGAACTGAACCAGCAGCCGCCACCAACCCCGAAAAGCCAGGAGCTTGGTGCAAGCAGCCGGAGCTGGCTGGATTGAAAGTCACTAAGAGGAATGTCTGGAAGCCTCTCACGCTCCTGGCTCACGCATTGAATGGACTGGCGATGATGAGAAGGCAAGCAAGCGCGCACTAAAGAAAGTTCACACAGGCAGCAATGTAGATGGAGTTGGGAGAAGCGTACCTGACAGGAGTGAAGAGAGGCAGCGGCGTGGAGTGAGTGGGCCACACCGCTCGAGCCTGCACATGGGAAATAATAAAGAGAGGAGTTAGTTGGCAACAGGGAAGCACACAATGCAAAAGCCAGCCACCACACCTTGCAAGAGTCAGCGGGCAAACAGAGGAACCCTTTTTTTTTGGTAGGAGGGGAGGGGGGCGTCTCAAGAATGCACACCTTGCAGAAGTCAGCGGGCACGTAGAGGCGCGGGTAGCGCTTGCAGATGCTCAGATAGCCCCTCTCCACCTCCGCGAATGGGAATGGCTCAATCTGACAAGACGGGGGCGGCGTGAGAGGGGAAAAGAATGGTTTCTAAGGCAGAGGGAAGAAGGATGTGCGGGGCAGGAAGAGCAACGAAAAGCGTGATAAAAGAGACACTGACCGAAACAGGATAGCTGAGTTGCAAAGAAATGAAGCACAATGCAGTGCTGAAGGGAACAAGAGAGACTAACCTTGCAGGAGTATGGGCGGTAATAGTCACGGGGCGGGGACCTGCAGAGAGACAAGGAAGGACGGCAGCAGAACACCAGCGTGTCATGGAGATAAGCAACGTGATTGAATCAGCAAACAACAGATTTTAAATATCAAGCAAACAATCTGCCTCGATGCAAATGCCACACTGCACACATGTCCTGAACACTCTGCCATTGTAAGAGACACAATGGCGAGCCACTTTGTGCACATAGGCCTGCACACCTGTGCCTGTGATAGTCGCGCTCGTCCTTCCTTGGCGCTCCAGCAGCAGCAGCGTCCCTGCCACCCCCTGCCTTCCTCCTCTCCTCCCTCTCCTTCTCCCTCTCCTTCTCCTTGTCCTTATCCCCATGATCTCGCTCCTTCCTCTCCTTCTCACGAGCCCTCTCCCTCTCCTCCCTCTCCCTGATTCTCTCCCTATCCCGAGCCCGCTCGCGCTCTCGCTCCCTCTCCCGCTCCCGCTCACGCTCCCTCGCCATTTCCCTCTCGCGCTCCCTCTCCTTCTCCCTTTCCCTGTCCCGCTCCCTATCCTTAGGCCTATCCCTCTCCCGCTCCCTCTCCAAAACAGCCGCCCTGTCCCTCCCAAACGCCCCTCGCTCCCTCTCCCCGCCCTTCCGCCACTCCTCCTCCCTCCCCCTCTCCATTTCACGTTTCGGCCCAGCATCGCGAGCCCCGGGCCAAGCCTTGCTAGTTTGAAATCCGGAGTCCGCAGCAGGGCCGGAGGTTCGGCCAGCAGGGGCAGAAGCCTTGGATGCAGAGAAGTCCCGGCCTAGAGCACCACGAGAACAAGCAGATCCGGGAAACGTCAGTGCGTAGAACATGACAGACGAAACGAGGGCGAGGAGGGACGGGGGAGAGTGCATAGGCGAATGAGGTGGGGTAAGTGGGGTGGTGTGGAGGGGTTGGAGAAAGCGGGGAGGCGGAGGGGGGAGAGGGGGGGGGGGCGAAGGAAGGGGAAAAGAAAGAACGAGGATTTGAGAAGACGAGGAAAGAGGGGAGGCACAGAAAGCATACCGTGGAAGCCCTGAGGCGTGGGATGCGGCTGAGAAAATCCCTGCGCCGGCACGTGCTGCTGCTGGTGTTGCTGCTGCTGCTGCTGCTGCTGCTGCTGCATCGCCACGGCCATCTGCTGCTGGAACGGAACGCTCCCCGCACCCATGCCGGACACGCCTCCCCCCATGGCAGCATACCCGGGACCCGCGGCAGTGAGCATGACGGGCGTGGCACCCCCAGCGGCAGCAGCAGCGTCGTATTGCACGCCTGTGGTGTATACGATCTGGCGCTGCCCTCCTCCCACTGACGCGGCCGTGGGCGCCGTCACCAGCAGCTGCTGCCCGTAGCTGTCTGTCGCCGTGTAGACGCTGAGGGGATAGGGTAGAGAAACGACGAACAGGGGGGAAAAGCAACGAGCACGCACGGGAAACAACGCCACGTTTAAGAAGAGCTGCGGATCTGGAGAGAAGGACAGATATTTGCAAGCAACGGAACGCTCAGCATGCGGAGAAACGCTTACCGCTGCTGAGCTGCAGCTGCCTGCTGCTGCGTCGCCATGGCCTGCTGCATGGACGCCGCTGCTGCTGCCAGCCCGATGGCCGACGCTCCACCCGCGCCCTGCTGCTGCTGGTACTGCTCACATCAATACACGCAGAACAGAAGCACAGTGGAAAGTTCCCAAAAAAAACATATTTAATGACAGAAAATCCTCTTCAATGGAGTTGTAAGCGCATGTATTCTAACATGTGAAGCTATATGGCGTCATAATGGCAACGCGAGCATAAATTCCTAGCGTTGCTGCATCGCGATAATAGGCTCCCGTCTTTCTTACCGTTGATGACGCGTCCTGATAGTAGGCCCCCGTCTTAGGGTCGAAGCTGAACGTCCCTCCAGCAGCGGCCGGGGTAGCAGCGGTCGTCCCCACGCCATACCCACCGTACGCGGAAGCACCGCCGGCGGTTCCCGCAACGCTGGCAATATCGAGGCCGTAGGCTGCAGCGACTGCCTGCGCGCCGGCCGAATACTTGGACGTTCCGTCGACGGTGGTGGCGAAGGAGGAGAGCGACGAATAAGGGGTGGCCTGTTACAACGCGGGAAGGAATGGGATAAGGGTGAAGGACGACAGGAGTGAAGAGAAGGGGAGGAGGAGGGATCATCGAAGCAGTACAAGAAGTGGCTGCGAGGAAGGAGGTAACGATAAGCGGACGGCGAGAGGCGACGAACGGATGACGAGAAGAGTCAAACGGAAGACTTATAAATTAATAAGCGTGAATCGAATCAACGAGAAACGCTTGAATTTCGGACAAATTAGTTGGAAAAACTGCTACGAAAATGTAACCGATACATAGTCGAATCTTCTCCGTAATACATACCGACGCAGCCGAAGCTCCCTGGGTGTAAGAAACCTGCTGCTGCTGTCCCGCCTGCTGTGCTTGCTGCTGCTGCTGCGCCTGGGTTCCATAACCAGCAAGCGACTGGTACGTGTAGTACTGGCCGGTCCCTGCTGCTGAAGCAGGCGTAGCGGATGCCACCTGCTGTTGCTGCTGCTGCTCAATGGAATAGCAGACAAAAATCCACCAGGAAACCAAGAAAAGTTGGAACATCAAAAGTCCATCAGCATTCTGGGCTGAGAACCAGATCGCTGTCAATTTCAATGGAATCAGTAATCTGGAACAAAGCGAGGATGCCATAGCAAACGAAATGATGGGAACAAGTACTGTCAAGGACTTACTTGCGTCAGCTGTTGCAAGGAATAACCCTGCTGCGAAATCGCGGGAAAAAGAAGAAGGCAACAGAAACTCATCAGAGATAGGACATGCGTAAGCTAGGTAAGAAACATAGAAATACCATAATGTCTACGAAAAACATCAACTATTAGAAATGGACCTCTAGAATAAAAGATTATGTGAACATCGATATCGATCTGCAAGTCAAGCCCCAGATCCACGACTCGCACGACTGAACCCTAAATAAGAAACCGAGAAAAGATTTCACAAACGACATGTTAGATTTGAATATTATGAGCACCTGGGAGTACTGCGAGGCCCCTCCGCCAGCCACGGAACTCCTCCAAGAATCCATGGCGAAGCGAGCCCTAAGATTGCGCACTACAACACACAATCGCTAACGTGGAGACCTGAACGACAGTTAGCGATCCTAGGTTAGGAAATGGTTGAAAGCAGACACAACCAAGGATCAAAAGAAACCTAGATGTGGTTTGGTCTGGGGATTCGACAGAATTCTCTGCGTTTTGTTCTACTCGTTCCCTGGCTGGATTGACGACGCGAGTGTAACCGCAAAATATTATATACATTCACAAATACATTACCACTTTTTCCAGGCTACAACATAGGACAAGAATGGAGATTTGTAAGCAGCTCAAATGAAAGACCTGCTATGGCAGACATGAGACAAACCCAATTACAGACGTACCAGAACATAACCTAAGCCCACATGTCCACTACGGGACCCGACCCACCCACTTGAGTTCTGCATCCAACCCCCAACCCGCCCCTCAAAACTACCAGAACCGCCATTCTGTAGGAAAATTACTCAGCCTCTAGCACCTGCATTGTTGACAGCCATCTTGAAATGAGTATTCCCCCTTGTTGCTCTATTTATTAACAGCAGTTCCCCCCCTGCGCAAAAACTTGCACCTTGAATCGTGAAGCACATTCAGAATGCATCACTTTGTGAACCAGATGTTTCTCCCTTGGTCTTCATTGCCCTGCATCTTGGTGCTGCTCCTTGCGAACCTCTATCGCATGCAGACGTCCTAAACACCGTTCTTTCTTTGCTTCAAGCCTAGAAATCTTGCTGTCAACACGTGAAATCTTCTCTCTCAACTCATCCTCCTCGGACCGTAGGTTGAGAGGCTGGGGAGGAGGTGTTTGTGGTCTTGTCCTTCTGATTCCCTGAGACCCACCAAAGAAGCAGGGAGAGGGGCACTGAGTGAAGTACCAAATAAAATGAAAAACTGCTGGGTCGAACTACAAGCAAATGTTGAAACATGGTACCCGTCTGCCAAAAACACTGCAGGATTTCGCAATGCACATTCTAATGGTCGGCCAAGTTTCATCCGAAGTGTTAAAAAAAACTCGTTTACCATTGTTTTAAAGACGATCAGCAGAGAGTAAAGGAACCCAACCCAACTTACGGATGCATACGGATCCATGAAACAGAATTGATCCCGTGGGTGCAGCGAATGCTGCTTGCTGCTCTCGTTGTTGCTGTTGCTGCTGCTCAAAGCAATCTCTATACAGAAATTAATCGAGAAAAGCCAAAAACAGACAATGAGACTCAACCAACCAGCATTTCAACAGCTGAACAACAGCTCGACGTAAATGGGATGCACAGGAGCTTGTTATGAACTCATGCGTAGCCGAAAACTTACATGTGTCAACTGCTGAGAACCATCACCCTGTTGCAAAAACCACCAACACAAGGGAGAACGAAATGTATGGAAGGGTACGCGTAACGCGAATCCAGGAAACCTTCTCCACGAAAACTATGTAAGGAGGCACTATCCACTCACAGGATGTAGAAGCTCGGATTTTTCCGGCGGCACCTACCTCACAGCTGTTGCCCGAAGGGTTCGTACCGTACATCCGGCCGTGGCAAGGCAAATGGAGTCCGAGCCAATCTCGAGGTTGAGCCGAGCGTTGACTCAGCTACGTGGGCCGAAGCAATATCCGAAATGAAATACACGATCAGTTAGATTTTACATGAACTGCAAGACGTTTGAAACATTTCTCCCACCAAGAAGCTTACTCCTAGCTTTTCTTGATCTTGCTTTTACTATCACATCATACACTATTCTACGTGTCTACTACTGAGCTAGCCTCCCCTGCTGATCTCTTGTGAGTGCTCTTAATGGCATACATTTCCATGACTCGGGTCTTGTTTTGCGCCCACCATGTCTCCGCTTGTCGCTCGATGAAGCGTTTCCGGCTGCATCGACAGACACAACCACACCACAATTAGCAGGAAATAGACACAAACGCAGAAGAAAATGCTCTCCCTCATATAAATGCCTACATGGTATTGCACGCACCTGAATCGGACCCGTCTCAACTCGGTTCCACCGCCAGGCAGCTTGGAAAGCGTAATGTAGACCCCAGGCTCCGGCTGCTCCATCCACTCGTTATCATGCAGCTTACGAGTCGACTTCCTGCTTCCTCCCTTGCCCTCCCCACGCCTACTCGAACTCGTTGACCCGGCTTCACTCTGTGACCCATCCCTGTCATCACCACCCCCGGAGTCCGCCCCTCTGCCCTCCTCCTCACACTCAGCAATCCCGTCCAATCCATGCATCCGGACTGCCTCCTCAGTCAACATGCCTCGATGCTCCTCACTTCCAGGAGCTTCTGCAGCCCTCGCAGCGGCGTCAGCAGCACTTACAGCACCGCCAGAACCAGCCATGCCAGTCATGTCCGTGCCATTGATCGACAGCCTCCCATGCAGCTCCTGCTCGGCGTGTGGGTTTGCAGACAGCAAGCTAGCTGCTTGCCTCCCATATCTCTCTTCCTCCTCCTCATCCATCCCTTGCTCATCCTGCCCCATGTTCTCTTGCACGGCTGCATACCTAAAACTTGGTTCCACGTTTTCGTTTTCAACCCCTTGAGAACCACAGCTCAGCTCTTGCCTGGTCTCATCAGTAGAACCTGCTTCCCTCACACCACTGCCGCCACCACTGCCACCACTGTCGATTGACTCATCACCCTCACCCAACGCAGCCTTCCCTTCCCCACCAACGTCCCTCTCCCCTGCCATTCCTCCCAACCTACCAAGCAGATTCTCACTCGGCCGCCCATACCGTTCCTGAACCAAACTATCTCTCCCTCCGCCCAGACTCTCTCTCATCCCACCCACACTGCTTCTCCTGCTGAGCCCTGGCACAACAGGCAAGCTCCTCCTGCTGCTGGGGCCAGGCACGTGAGGAGGCACAGCTGCATTGGAAGCCAGTGCTCCCACAGAGGCACCCACAGGAACGCGCTCAGGAGTCGTTTCCCGCTGCCGCAGATGCGTCCACGACTCGTGCAGCCGCACCAGCGTCGGTACCATGCGACCCTTCCCCTCCTGCTGCTGCTGCTGCTCGCCGCTCTCTCCCCCTGGCGCCTCAAACACAGGGAGTGTCCGCCGCTCCTGCTTCTCACTCATCATCCCTCCACCTGCACTACCAAGATACCCCCCATGTGACTCTCTCATGCTGAGACCATCCAGCTGAGCGCCTGAGCTCCCTCTCTCTGCACTTGCCTCTGTCCAGCGCGCTGCAGCATCAAAAGGCAAGCTTCCCCTGACCGAATCCCCCATTCCCACACTCTCACGTGCGCCCACATCCACACTGGAACCTCCCCTCAACACGTCCCCTCCTGCCACACCAGCAAACGAACTTGCTCCTCTCCCTGCTGCTGCAATTGCTGCTCCCTCTGTCGCTCTCCCCCCACTAATCCACTTGGAGCGCGGTGAGATCTTATCAGACGAGGCCCCTGTAGGGGTCCAAGGCACGCCTCCCTCTCGCTGCTCCTGCGCCCCACCCCCCTGACTGAGCCCCTCATGCACCAAGGCTGCTCCTCCTGTGTTCCCCTGCCACGGGTGCTGCTGCTGGTGGTTTGGCACGGCAAGCACCAGCCCAGGGAACCCCTTGCCACCTGCCTCCGCTTTGTTATAGCTACCCAGAGAGGAGGACACGTGGAAGCCTCTGGTTGGACGAGAGTTGGCAGTGAGAGTTCCTGGTGCTCCTGCCTGGGAAGCAGCACTTGCTTCTGCTGCTCCTGTGTCTGATGCTGCTGCTGCTCCCGCTGCTGTGCCCCCCCCCCCTACCCTACACCCCTCAACACTCCCCACAGAAGCACCCGGAGCAGCAGTTGCAAGAGCAGGTGCAGCAGCAAGCGCAGCACCACCGCTCCCTGAAACAGGCTGCGGTGGCAGCTCAACCAAAGACGGGGGCAGCGAGGAAGACGACGACAGAAGCAGAGGACCCGTGTACAGCACAGAGTCATCAACGGCTCTGATCGCCAGGCTGGCTTGCTTGACCGGGATCAACGGTGCCTGCTGCAGCAGCTCCTGCATCTGAGTGCAGAGCACTTGGATGATATCGCGTGCGCCTGCTGCCCGTGCGCCTGCTTCACTGGCCGCGGTCACTGCTGCCTCCACTTGCCTCTGGGCCAGCTCCAGTGTGGCCCTGCGCTCTTGCTCCAGCAGCTGACAGTGCTGCCGCAGCACCTCCACCTGCAAAGGAAACAGACACGGGCATGGTACATGTGAGTGTAAAAAGGTCACATTTGTTTCACTGGCTGCAGTGACTGCTGCCTCCACCTGCCCCTCAGCCAGCTCCAGTGTGGCCCTGCGCTCTTGCTCCAGCAGCTGACAGTGCTGCCGCAGCACCTCCACCTGCAGGGGAGTCAGACACAGGGATGCCAGAGAAGAAGTGCAGGTGTGTTTGGATTCACTCCACTCACTCCCTCAATGCTTCCCTGCGCTTGTGCTCCAGAAAAAAACAGTTTCTGGCGTAGCACCTTAATGCGCGGTCATCCAGAAAACCATGCTGTGCCATCGTTTCCGTAACATGGTTACATGGAGGCAGGCAGATGAAGGACATTGCTTGCCATGCACAGTGCACATGACTAGCGCATGCATGGCAGCCCTCACTCACCTCATCCTGCAGGCAGTACGCCTCCCTCTCTGCGTTCTTCTTGGCATGCCGCATGCCCGCCATCGCTGTGTCTCTCCGATGCTGCCCCGTCCGCCCCACGCACAGGACGAGAACACACACTCTCACCGGGGCAGCCCTCACCTCATCCTGCAGGCGGTATGCCTCCCTCTCAGCGTTCTTCTTCGCATGCCGCATGCCCGCCATCGCTGTGTCCCTCTCCGCCTCCGATGCTGCCCCGCCTGCCTCACATACACCAGACACACCCACGAACAGTGGATAAGAGAAGAGCAGTGAGGAGTGGAGAAGATGAGAAGAGCATTGGGAAGTGAAGAAGATGAGAAGGTGCAGACCCCATGACAGAAGTAGCACAACTAAAACGTGAATGGACTCTTATCGAGAATGGGATGGGATGGAGAGCTGTCATCCAAAGCTACACTCACTTTCTTCCGAGGCTTTTGTCATGGCCAACGACTCTCCTCCTTCTCCTCCTTCCGTCCCACCCGCTCCTGCCCCTGCTCCTGCAACTCCCACTCCGCCCACTCTCCCCCCCATCGGCCCTCCTCTCATCCCTCCAACCCCAGGCAGCGCCACAACGCCTCCCAGGCCCCCCACAGCCCCCATTCCCCCCACCCCTCCAATGCCCCCTGGTCCTGCCTGCTCTGCCGCTGCAGCTGCTGCTGCAAGTGAGGCAGGAGTGGGGCCAGGCACACGCCCTGCCATCGCAGCAGCCATTGCAGCAGCGGCTGCCGAAGCTATTTGAGCCGCGGTTGGGCTGGAGGCTCGGCGGAGCGGGCTCGTGCCCATGGAGCGCCGGAGCATCGGGCTGGTTGACCTCTTCCCGGGGGCTTGGACCGAGGTTCGGAGCGACCGGCTGGTCCGGAGATGGGAGTCGTCAGGCTTGGCGGGAGGTGAGGCGCTGGTGCGGAGGGGAGGCGAAGCGGAGTGGGCGTGGGTAGCGGCAGGAAGAGCAGGGAGGGAGGCGGATACAGAACTATTGGAAGGGGGGAGGGCACGGGAGTGGGAGGCAGCAGAGAGACCTTGGACTCCTTGTTGTGAGAAACCTTGTGGGAGTCCCTGTGGGCGTGGTTGCTGGGACAAGTAAGAGGCGAAGGAGGTAGGGACGGCTATGGAGCTCCAGAGTGCTGGAAGGGTTTCGGTGCGAGCCCGGCGGAAATTAGGAAGGCCGTCTGTAGAGGCCGACACAGATGGTGCATGGGATGCTGGAATCCCTCCTGATACCCCCCCTGCTGCTGGTGCTGATGATGATGATGATGTTGACGATGGTGCTGCTCCGGAGGATAACGCAGTTGCCATGTCAGCCAGTGACGGGTCCAGCAGCTTGTCCACGTCATTGGACGTGCGCGATCTCTGCCACATGGACTTGCTGCGAGACCGCCAGCTCATCGCAAGGCTCACAGGCGGAATGCTCCCTGCACCTGCCCCCACTCCTGCTCCTCCTCCCCCCCATCCTGCTCCTGCAGTACCCATCCCCGCCCCTCCTGCCAAACCTCCGGCATTCGCCCCACCAAAGCCACCAGTCTGACCTGCACCAGCGACTGCGACTGCCCCTGTTGCAACCGCCCCTGACCCGCCTCCTCCCATCCCAACCACACCACCCACAGACCCATGAACCACACCACTACCAACTACAGCAGCAGCCCCCACAGCAGCCCCAGCAGCAGCGGCAGCAGCAGCTTTGACCATCTTGGCATGGCAGGAGTCGCACACACGGTACGGGCGGGAGGAGGAGGGCGCCATGGCTGCCCCCAGCAGCTTGCGGCTGCTACAGCCGTGGCACACGGGCTGGCCGCAGTTGTAGCAGCTGTGGCGGGGGCGTGCGAAGGTGAAGGGCTGCCGGCACTGGTTGCACTGGTAGTTGTCGGCGCCTGAGAATGGCTTGTGCTGACACACCACAGCTGTGCTGGCAGCGCCACAGGACACCTGGTCATTGGGAAGGGGGAAGGAGCGTGGGGCGAGATGGAGAAAGGCAGGCCAATGCGAAAGCGTATGGTGGGATTGAAGGACTCGAAGCAGGAGAACAGAGAGTGAGACAGTGGGAGAGAGACGGAGAGAGGGGGAGCGAGAAAACGCACATGGCAGCAAGCAGCAAGCAGCAAGGGAGCAACTCACCGCAAGGGTACAGCTTACCAGCAGCACGCGTCTGTCCTTGAGGGCAGTGACAGGGGTGGGCACGTCCCTGTCCTTCACATCCCCATGGCCCAGGCGACCGTTGGCGCCCCTGCCCCACGTGTACAGGTGTGCTGTTGAGGTGAGCGCTGCCACGTGGTGTGCCCCACACGCCACCTGCTCCACCTGCTTCTGCTGCAGCGGGCCCGCGACTTTAGCTGGAAAAGAGAATGGAGGAGGAGGGACATGGGGGAGGAGGGACATGGGGGAGGAGGGACATGGGGAGGAAGGTGGTGTGCACGATGAACGCATGGGGGAAAGTTGAGACAGAAGCACATACTGACCAACATGAGTGACAGCCCTGCCTCAAGGGGTGTGCCAAGCTCACACGCAAAAGTATCCACAGCAGCAGACATAGCAGCAACAGCAACACGCACCTGGCAGCTTGCCATCAGCTTGAGGATTACCAAGCTGCCCATACTCCGCACTGCCCCACGTGTACACCTGGCCTGCTGCTGTCACCGCCACTGTCACGCTCTCCCCACATGCCACCTGCGGGAGACAACCAGACGCCAAGCCAACCACAGGGCGACCACACAGAGGAACAGCAGACGGACAATGAACACGGCAGGCAGGAAGGCAAGGAGATTCACGTTAGATTAGACAAGAGAGGATATACTAAGCTGGCTGTACCACTCCTCTAGCCTGGCACTGCCTGGCTTGCCTAGCCTCATGAACCCCACGCAGAAGAATGAATTCAGTGAACAGCAGCACTTGCTGCTGCTGCTGTTGCTGCTGCTTGTACCCAACCCATGGCCCAGCTAGTACCCGTCATCGTCCTACGTAAGCACGTGCTGCACTATCCGAGAGCGCTAGGGAAACACGGACCTGAGAGCAGCTCTCCTGGCGCAGGGCGTTCACGAGAGCCGGCAGCAGCTGCTGCTGCTTGTCCCCATGGCCCAGCTTGTACCCGTCCCCATCAGCCCATGTGAAACAAAATCCAGTAACTCCGAGGAAACACGAACCTGAAAGAAGCTCTCCTGGCGCAAGGCATTGACCAGGGTCAACAGCAGCTGCTGCTGCTTGTCCCCATGGCCCAGCTTGTACCCGTCCCCATCAGCCCATGTGAAACAAAATCCAGTAACTCCGAGGAAACACGAACCTGAGAGAAGCTCTCCTGGCGCAAGGCATTGACCAGGGTCGGCAGCAGCTGCTGCTGCTTGTCCCCATGGCCCAGCTTGTACCCGTCTCCGTCGCCCCACGTGAACACCTGCCCACAGCCCCCCGTGCCGCTGCTGCTGTTGCTGCTACCCCCTTCGCCTGACGGGCCTGTGTCCACTACAGCTGCTGTGTGCCACACCCCACACGCCACTCTTAGGGTTCGGTAACCCTGCAGTGCCTGCACTTGCCTAGGCACAGGAACAATCCTGTGAAAGGGGAGAGGGAAGTGGGGGGACAATAGCTGGTACGGGTTTGGACGGTGTGCTGGATGGATCTGTGTATGGGTCTGTGAACGAGGGGAAGGATCAGTGTATGGTTCAGAAGGGAAAGCAATTCAACCTATGCTACCTTGCTGACTGGCACGCATGCATTGAGAATGGTGGGGCCCAGTGTGTGAAAGGAGATGATACGCGCAGGAATGAGTAGTGTGTCAGCTGTGTGCCAGAGATGTGGAAAAACATGTGCCAAACTCGTGGCAAACCCACACCATCCCCATGCCAACTCACTCGCAGTCGCCATGCCCCAGAGCTCCAAACGTGCCGTCTCCAAACGTGAACAGCTCCCCTCCAGCGGCCACCACGGCCACGTGCCAAGGTCCACATGCGACCTGCACCACATGCACCCCGTCCAGAGGGCCACCCAGCCTGCGCGGCACCCACTGCGGCATGTCCCCATACCCGCCTGACCCCAGCAGCCCCTGGCACCTGCGGCCGTCCCCCCATATGTACACGTCGCCCCCGCGCGTGAGGGCGCATGTGAAGTGCTTGCCACACGCCACCTGCCCAAGGGAATGGGGGAACGGAACAGATGGGCGAGACTGATCAGCACTGGGGCATTGTCTCACCCAGCCCCAGGCAAGTGCAGGCGCTGGACTCAACTCCATGCACACTTCAATCTCAATCCCAATCCCACCCAATCCCAATCCCAGCAAGCACATCAGCCGTCCCAGCCCCACATGGCCCGCCCACCTGATCCACTCGCAGCCCCCCCAGCGCCTCCACCAGCTGCGGGTGCTCCACGTCCTTCTCAACGCCCTGCACTCAACTCCATGCACACCACAATCTCAATCCCAATCCCATCAACCCCATCAAGCCCATCAGCCGTCCCACTCACGCATCACCCATCCACGCGCAGCCCCTCCAGCGCCTCCACCAGCTGCGGATGCTCCACGTCTTTCTCAACGCCCTGCACTCAACTACATGCACAACCTCAATCCCAATCCCAATCCCAATCCCAAACCCATTAATCTCATCAAGCTCATCCCACTCAAGCATGGCCCCTCACCTGATCCACCCTCAAGCCCCCCAGCGCCTCCACCAGCTGCGGGTGCTCCACGTCCTTCTCAACGCCCTGCCCCAGCCTCCCCCCGGACTCCTCCCCCCAGCACAGCACCTCCCCCTGCCGCGTCACCAGCGCTGCATGCTCCTCCGCGCACGCCACTCTGCATATATCCAGCACCACTCCAGATTCCAGCGCTTTCGGCGCCACACTGTCGTATTCCGCCCCCATCACCATCCTCTGCCCGCCCTTCTTTCTCATCCCGCCCCCCCTAGCGCCCCTTCCCCAGCCCCTCCCCCCACATGAACAGATCCCCTAGCGCCTCCCCTCCCGCGTCCTCCCCTGTACTGCTGGTTGCACTCGGGTGACTCGCCACAGCAGTAGCATCGGCCCACATTCCCGAGGGTGGTTTACCCTGAAAAACAGTTCCAGACTCCGTTCTACTACTGGAAGCAGAGGATTTGTCCCACCAGGCCGAGGAGGAAGAGGAGGTGGTGGAAGGCACAGAACTCGTCCCAGGCCCGGCTGCCCCGCCTATAGTCACACCACCAGTGGTACCCCCACCTCCACCCCCACCGTTCCCACCCCCTCCACCCACAACCCCACCGCTACTATTCAACCCCAGAATCGACTGGGCATTGGCGGCGGACACATGATTCACAGACTGCACAGAGAAGCCGCTGAGGGAGGCGGTGTCTGAGGCGTCATCCCCGTCACTGGAGCGGTCGTCTGCTGCTGGGTACGTTGAGATGTCCTGAGCAGACTTGGACGCGGGCATGAGCGCCACGTCTGGGCTGAGCCTGTCTGGCGGACTGGCTGTCACGGACCCGCCTGCTTGCGGCTGAGTGGGGTGCGGAGTGGTGAAAGGGGATGGGGACAGAAAGGAAGTGTGCTGAGCGGACTTGGATGCGGGCATGCGGCTGGGACGATGACGACACACACGTTGAGCGGTTATTAGTGTCTTGTGGGAGTGAGATTGAGCAGGGAGGATGAGCTGGAAAGGGAGTTTTTTCAGTCGTCACACAAGTTCCCTTACAGTCCTCCAAAGGCGCCTCACAAGGTACCTTGCGGTCCACAGAAAAGAAGGGCGAGGAGTTGGGAGACCAGTCGGGCGTCCCTCTCTCCGCCGCCACCACCACCATGGCCTGCCTGCCCAACCGCTCCGACTGCGTGCGGCGCTGCTTCTCCACGAGCGTTCCCAGCCCCACGAACCACATCTCCGCCTCGTCCGTGTCCTTGCAGATCTGCCACACCACCGACGCCACCAGCAGCAGCACAGCACACTGAGTCCACTTGTGATACCGGCAGAGCTCAGATCAGACTCTCTCCTGCGTGTTCTCGCCCTAGGGCTACTGTCTGGAGACTGGAGGACGAGGTGATGGGTGAGATCGCGCAGGCTCATGGAGGGGAGCTATTGAGTTCGTGCGAGGGGAGAGGGGCGGGGGGAAAGGGAGGGCTGCCGCCTGGATGAAGCAACAGGTGAGATCACGCATGCAAGCGCTCATGGAAACGAGAAGAACGAGGCGCAGGAAGTTAAAAAAGGACGAGGCATATCGCGCAAGGGAGGAGATGAGACGTACGACGTCGATGGTTCGTTCCCCATTGCAGAAGATGATGGAGAAGGACTGGTTCTCCTTGTCGGGCCTCAGGTGCCGGTGGAATATGGCCTGCCGCCACACACGCACGCACGCACACACGCACGCACGCACACAAGGATGCATGCACAGACGCACGCAAGCACGCACCACGCACCACGCACGCAGGCAGAAGGAGAATGAGCTGATGTTACGACGGACAGCAGCAAATGCGAAGTTAAGAAGCGCATCTGCGATATGGCGAATCAGAAACGATGCTGTGAGACGATTCACAACTTTCGAGAGCGGGCTTTTTAACTCACTGTCTTCTGGCCCCACGCGATCGTGCTGACTGCGGAGAGAGGAAGCGATTTCTCCCGGTCCCCAGAGAGATACACCAGCTCCGTCTCGTCCTGCGGCGCAAACGGAGGAAGGACGCGGGACACGCACGCGGTAACCCATGAAAATGCAGCGATAAGCGACGTAAATGTAGCGATAGTGCCGGCGTTCCGGCGATCATTGCGTATCGATTCGACTCGCGATCGTATCTTTGCTATGTATGGAACCTCATGACGGCCCATCCCCCCTTACGCAATCAGTTTAACAACATTTCGCAGCCTCGACAAAGAGTAAGCCCTAAACAGCAACAGCCAGCGCCGAGCACCAGAATGTGCGAATCTGAGAAGCTTTTTACGACGAAAAACGACAGAAGATGCTACGGAAAAGGGATGGACGTACGGCAGACAGACGGAAATAGCAGGCCCGCGGCCTTCCCAATCGGCCATACTTCAACAGCCGCGTCCCTTTCTTCATTGCAATAACCGCCTGCGAACAGGACGTCGGTACTCAAGTAAGCAGCTATCCACGGAAACCCTGACGGCGTGCAGAATGGAAAGCAGTCAAACCCTAATCTGAAGATCCCCTAAGAACTGACCTGCTCTATATCTCGGTCCGAGAAACCCCTCTTATAGCTATCAGCCACGCGAGGCTGACCCATGCCCTTAAGGGTCTTAGAGGACGGAATCATTCTGTGAGATAGTCTAACCACGTGTTAATCAGTCACGTTTAAACGGTCACGACCAGCCTACGACGATCCAGCTGCAACTTGATTCGTGCAGTGCACAGTGTACGCGATATAAAACCGCTGCCTGAATGCATCCCGACGACGTAAAGTGCTGATTCACAAGCAGTCATAAACAATATCTATCAGATCGGCAGCGCGACAAGATGAACGAATTCACGCGTGCACGAATTGAAGTTAGGAGTTAGATCTACATGAGCAGCCAATGCATCACTCGGATGAAAGACGCCTCGAGCCTGGACCGTGAAACCACTATAGGTCCACTCCTAACATCCCATACAATTGTCGGTGGAAAAAACGATTGTGGACGAGTGGTGCGGGCGATCCTTTCTATGTGCTTCGCCAGCAGAAGCTGGTGCTGGTCAGAAAACTGTTTCGCTACAGGCTCACAGGCGGTGAGCAGAGCGGAATGAGAGAATTCAGCTGATGGAGGAGCAGCAGCAGCACACCCTTCTGGCTGGAATCTCAGAAACTCCATCGGTTGTGTGAATGACGGACGGACGACAGACGGAACAGAAAGCTGACCACAGCATGTTGACGAAACATCTCTGTTCGACAATCTCAAGGGTGGTGGCAATTGTGATTCGCTCTGGTTGGCCAACTGGTGTGACCATGCTTCAAGCGAATGTGGTTTTCGGTCAGAAATGTGCAGGGCAGGGCAAGGCCCGCGGAAACTGTGTCAGATGCCATGACTGGGCTTCTAGTTCACCGCTTTGAGCAATCTCGCTAAGAATGACCAGCATCTGACTTATCAAGGCTCATAAAGCTCGGCCTTTTCATTCAGTTTGCACATGTTCAAGCTTATATGAGCCCAAATACCTTTTGGGAGAGCTGGCATGATGTAAGGGATTTTTTAGGCATCCCTTACTGCATCGCCCAACATCGCGTACAGCAGCAGCACTTGTTCGCCCGTTACTGCTAACGGGGCTTCGCCAACTTCGCACGTACTATTTCACCAAACCATGCACTGCTGGCTCGGCTGAATCGGCCTACGCTTTGGGACTAGCCCGAACCTCGATGCCAGCCTAGCACTAGCTAGCTCGCACGCACCGCGTTACCGTTTGCATGTTCGCATATTCATACGGTAAGTATTTGCTCAATGCCTTCGCTCATACTTTGTACTCGTTTGACACCTAGTGCAATCCTCGCTATCTCGTTCCATTGCACCCGTAACACTTGGTATTCAGAGCCACCTTCTTTTCGGACCGCGCATCTCCGCACCAAGAAAAATCAACTTTTGATTTTTCCACTCGAAGGGACTCGCGCCCCTTTGCACCTAGGAACCGCTGTCCTCGTGTTCTCTCGTAAACACGTGCAGCCACGACAGTACCTAGAACTAAGTTGAGCCGACGGTATCGACGTCACAACGCTCACGCAGGAGCGCCTGAACCAACTAAAGCACGAAAGCACCGAAGAAATTGCGGCGCTGACGGTAGAACGTACGTCGCTGCAAAACGACGTCGCATGGGTGCACCAAGCACAGTCACAAGCACAAGGCACACAGGGACAACCTGCACGACAGGCATCACAACACGGAAGTGTGGGGCAACACTCGAGCGCGGCTAGTGATGGCATCGCCCGCAACGACGGAGACGACGACCACGGCGCGCCACTCCCCGGAGCGACGAATGCGGCCAGGAGCCCACCTCGCGTCACGATTTCGGTGCCGACTGGCGAGTCAGCACTGCCGTCGCCGATGCCGCTCAAGCCGCAGCGTCCGCCTTGCTTCGATCCTAGTCAACGGGGTGGTCTGCTGTTCAAGCATGGTTATTCACCATGAATATCTTTTTCGACGCGAACTACGTATCGGAGGATACGGCGAATATTCGCTACGCCGTGTCGCTGTTGCGAGGACCCGCCATGAATTGGTGGCGCGTCATCGTCACGAAGCCGACGGACTACACGACTCTACCAACACTGGAAGGACAAACCGGACCCTGGGCGCCGTCGTATTTCGTGGAGGTGCCCCAGTCTCGCACGTGGGACGTGTGGTGCGCAGGTTTGCGCGCGAGATTTGAGCCAATAGCGGCTTCGATCGCGGCGCGTCAGAGGCTCCGCACTTAGCGCCAGCTCGGTTCCGTCCAAGACTATACCAGCGGGTTCCTGGCGCTGTGTGAGTAGGTGGGCTATATGCACGAGGGGGAACGCATCGACCACTACATCGGCGGCCAGAAGCACGAGATCGCCCAGGAAATCTAGCTCCGCAACGTCACCGAATTTCAGGACATACTCGATATGGCGTAGAAGCTCGACTTCTTACGCCGACCGAGACCGGGGTCCTACGGCAACAGCAGCAGCTAGGGACATTGGCCTCGTGGGACGAACGAGCACGCCACGATACGTGCTGTCGCCGCGAATGCCGCTGCCGCACCGTTCAAAGGGCGCTGCTTCGCGTGCAATCGGCCGGGACACTACAAAAGCAAATGCCCGGAAAACACTAAGAGAAAGGGGGAAGCTGAGCACCAGAAACAGACCAAGCAGCAGGGAAACGCTGGGATTTAGTAGCAGACGGGCCCTCTACTAACAGGTTACGCCCCTCGCCCGACCCAACCAACCCTCACCGAGTGATTGTGCCGGTAGACGCAATCGACCACACCCGACCGAATAAGGAGGGTACCGCGGTAGATAGCCCCATACTGCTTAGTGGGAAGATTGGGACAGACTTAGTAAAAAAATTCGTCGATAGAGGAGCCAGCCACAGCCTGATCAACACGGCCACAGAACAGAAACTGAAACTGCCACTGGACATGTGTTTACCTGAGATCGACGCAAGACTGGTCGACAGCAATCCATTGGCGATACGGGAACGCGTGGACCGAGTCCGGATCCGATGCGGAGGGAACTTCACATTTAGCCAGGAAATGCTCGCAACTACCCTCGACGGTACCGACATTTTACTCGGCCGTGATTGGCTGCGACGACACAATCCGCGAATCGACTGGACGACGGGTGACTGCACCGTGCGAGTGAACGGTAACAACATCGCCTTACCTCGCTGGGGCTCGCCTGAGTCTTCGTCGGTGCGTGTCAACGCGATCACGATGAAACGCGCCGTAGCGGCAGGAGTTGACGTTTATGAGTTGACATTTGGGAAGCCGAGGCAGCAGACAAGGGGAGTGATTTACAGAAACTGCTCGCCGACGTACTGGATGATATGGCAGCGTTACTGAAGCAGTACAGTGGGATATTCCCGGATGACTTGCCAACAGGACTGCCACCTCAGGGACCGCATGACCACAGAATAGAACGGGAACCGGGGGCACAGCCGAGAGTACAGCGAATGTTCCGACTGACCCAACCCGAAATGGACGAACTACGGAAGCAGCTAGATTACCTGCTCGAGGAGTTTATTTGCCCGAGTTCGTCGCCCTTCGCCATACCGTTACTGTTCACGCCGAAGTAGGACAGGCGATTTCGCATATACATAGATTACCGCGCACTGAACCGAGTTACCATCAAGTCCCGTTACCACTGTTAAACTGTATTATGCTTGTAGGCTGTAGTGGGGTAGCCAATATGGGGTAAAACCCCAACTAGGGTTTCATATTTGTACCCAATCTTCTGCTAGTTCATTCATTCTTGCCTAGTTATTTTGAGATGGTATTCAGAGCAGGAGGTCCCTAGGACCTACCGACCGTTTTTTTTTAGGGCCCACCACCGCTCGCATGCGGTTACCACGCTACCCCGTGCCCTAGCCTCGTAGCGCCCTCGTGCGCCCTCGTTAGCGCCCTCGCGCGCCCCTCGTTAGCGCCCTCGCGCGCCCCTCGTTAGCGCCCTCGCGCGCCCCTCGTTAGCGCCCTCGCGCGCCCCTTGCTAGCGCCCTCGCGCGCCCCTCGCTAGCGCCCTCGCGCGCCCCTCGCAGTGTCGCCCGCCCGCCCGCTCGCAGCGTCGCCCGCCCGCCACGCTGCCCGCTCGCCCCTCGCCCGCCGCGCTGCCTGCTCGCAGCGTCGCCCGCTCGCCCCGCTGCCCGCTTCGCAGCCCGCTCGCCCCGCTGCCCGCTTCGCAGCCCGCCGCGCTGCCCGCTCGCCGCGTCGCCCGCCCGCCCCGCTGCCCGCTTCGCAGCCCGCCCGCCGCACTTCCCGCCTGCAGCGCCGCCCGCCTCGCCTGCTGCTCCCTGCCTGTGCACCGCCGCTTGCTCCTGCTGTGGCTGCTAGCTTCGCTCTAGCGCGTCCCCTCTGCTGCTGCCGCTGCTCTGCTGTGCCCTCACGCCTGAGCTATGGCCTCTATTCGCGTTCTTTCCTTCGATGCTGAGGGCCGTCCCGTGCAGTTTACTTCCTGGCTCGACGACCTGCAGTTGTATCTTATGAGCAATAGCACGGACCACATCTCCCTCTATGACTACGCGTCTGGTGCTGCCGCTGCTCCTGCTGCCACAGCCGAGCTTAGTGTACGTTCACAGTGGCAGACTCGTGACGCTGCAGCTCGCCTGGCTATTCGCAGTCACCTGCCGTTAGCTGAGCTAGAGCACTTTGGTGACTGCAAAACCGCTAAAGCCCTATA